AAAAAAAAAAAAAAAAAATTAATACGCTTAAAAACATACCTCAGCTGTTCTCTTTTGGAAAGGAGTTTCGTTATCATGTGTACAGTCCATGAAAAGAGCACGAGGCATGCTACCACTGGTAATAGGAATAGCCAGCACCTTCTTTTTTTCATCACATTCATAAGGAACTACCTTCCACACCATATCCTCATCCATACTTCCGACAGGTTTACCTCCATGACGGTGAGCCAAGCGAGAGAGTTCATGAGTGTCCCAGGCTTGCATGGCTTCACGAATAAGAGCATGAATACCAAGTCGCGAAACAAAATCGTTATCCCTTTCTGCAGACCCGGTGAACAGTTCTGCCAAGACATACAGGTCTGGTCTTACTCTACGTGCAGCGTCCAAGAGATACTCAGCCACATGAATGGGAGTTGAATGACAGTTGTCGATACGGATACCGTGGAACATACTGGCTACTTGCTCAGTGTACTCGCGCATATGTTGCCAAAGCCAAGGATTGTCTTTAGGTGATTGGCCATAGCGAAGCTTGACACAATCGCCCCAGACGATGACTTCACGACGTAAATAGGCTGATGAATCAGGACCAGCGAAATCCTTGAGTGGATCTGCGTTCCAGATCCAACCGTTATTAGCAAGCATCATGCTTCCTTTAGGATGCTTTCCCTTGGGGTCTTCCAATCGTGTAAAATAGCTTTCGATCAATGGATTGCTTTGCAAAAAAAAAAAATGTTAGTTTACAAGTATTTTAAATACAAAAAAAAAAGCTTACCTTTTTGAAATACGTCCCAGCTTTGGGCCGTTCTCGGCTAAACGAGTAAACAAAAGCCTTCCCTTGATATTTTCCAACGCCACTTTACACTCTTCGTCGTATTCTTCGTAAAGAGGCAAATTATAATCATTCAGCAAATTCTTAAACGACTCGACCAAGTCATCGACCTGATCATCAGATACCTCATCCAAAGACTTGATCTTGTTGAAAGCAAGCAAAAATGACAGAGCAGCCGAAACGTGAACTGTCTTGTGGAATCTTGTATCCAAGTGTCCATTCACAATGACGTCTTGACCGAATAAGGCAATGCGTTTTTTAATGTCCATGCTATACACATCGTGGTAAACAGTAGGATGAGATGATTGCTCGGAACGATCCTTGAGTGCCTTTCGGATTACATCAGCTTGTTTGGCTACATCAATGACTTTGTATTCATAAAGTTTCAACTGCTTAATCGTGTTTTCTCGGATATATTCGATAATTACGTCTGCATCTTGTTCTGAGCGAATGTCTACAGGTAAGCCCAGTTGTTCTAATTGACCTGAAAGCTCGATAAGTGCTGTATCAAGTTCATAAGCTGGAACCAGATGTGGTGAGTTATGAAGGTTGTAACCTATAAAAGACAGTCATTATACGTATACAGGTAAAAGCCAGTGATACGTTACCAGCTTCCGGATGATGCAATAAAAATTCAGTGCTGTTGCTTGTATGATTCCAGACGACATCAGAAAGACTAAGAATACCATGCTTAGAGTAGATATTTCCTATCGCCTTTTTAACAACAGCCAATCTTTCCTTGTTTGATTTCTTTTGATCTTTTGCATCAAATACGTCATCATCAAAAGAAAGTTGATCACTGATGCTATAAGGTGAGTTTGACACACCACGTTTTTGCAAGGGCACAAAATGAATCATGTTGTATCCACTATAGTTCACTGTTTCCAAAAGATTTGCCCATTCGGTGATTGGACCCATCCATTTAGGTACCATCGATAAGACGACCAATCCGTCTAGTGGTAAGAGGGAATCTCTTTTTTCTTTTTGCGGTAAACTTATACGAGGTTCTGCAATCACGTAGCCTGCCTGAGATACCTTGTTTTGACCTTCACAGCGATACTCTACCTGATACTGGTAAGCGCCAGGTATGTCTATCTTGATGTCACAATAGGCGTGTAATAGGTGAGGATGTGTGGTAAACCTGAATGAGCGTTAATATTTTTGTCCTGAATATATGTATATAAAACGACTTACTGAACAGGATGAAATTTGTGCCTTTCAAATTGACCCTTGATAGGGTAGTTTGTGATCAGTCTGGGGTGTCCACCAGCAGCTAATGTTCCTGGCTCTAGTACAAAACGCAAGATAACTTCACCTTTGAATAAAGGAATACGAATGTACTATATGCAAATGGTTTGGAAAAAAATATTGATCTCTTCTCTATTTCTATCTTACGCTTTTATCCTTGGGTGAGCCATCATCGTCCAGGGTGAGAACATATAGGCGAGGGAGAGACTGTGCGATAGGATCCTGAATGAAGACCATATGAAAAATAAGAAAGGAAGAAAGAATAGAAAGGAGAAGAAAAGAGAAGAAAAGAGGGGAAATACTTGATAAAAAGAACGCGCGCTCAAAAAAATAGAAATAAAAAGGTGCGGATGTTTACTGCGTTTGTAATTGAGTTTTAATTAATGTTTATGCAAGAGGTTCTCTATCTGATTAAACTGATACAGTCTAAAATAAAGTTTAATGTGATAAGCTTGTTTTGATTTATCTTTTTATAAACTAGGTACATTGACAACAAACTAAAGAAAAAGCTTAAAAATTAGTAAAGAAAGAGACAACTGCTTGATGAACAATGATATCATTCTGATACTGCAAAGGATGAAAAATCTGGGAAAAAAGGGTATTACCTACTTGGTTTGACGCCACTTTGGCCTCCGATCTAAAATATTGATCTGGAATTGCATCAGCAAGTCGTACGATCAGCCAAAGGTGCCTCCATGACAGAATAGCTTTTAAAAATAAGATCATGTCTACTGCTCTCAAGTATATCAAAAGATCAATTTGTTAGTCCTTACTTAATTACACCTCCTGCAACATTTGTTATCAGTTGTTTTATAATCCAATTGATCTACTCCTGATGATTTATGTTCAAGGATATGTGTGGTTTGTTCAAGTTGTGAGAAACATAGTACTGATCTTTACTATTGTTGCTCTTATAGAAGGACCATTGATTGTGGTGAATCATATATTTATAAGGCTGGTAATGCCTTAGGTGTAGAATTGAGATTAGTTATAGTGGTAGTTTTGCAGATGATAGGAGAATAAATAATGTATCGGAGTGAAGGAAATGATCAAAGGCTTGGTAATGAGGCACAATTAGTGACAACGCAAAACAGCGCAATGTTTATGATAGAGTCTGACATACGCCTTTTCTTAGTGAAGTAGTTTTTGTTCGACTTCATTTTTATCAGTGATATCAGCAGGTTGTAGCTCAGAATGAGTCAATAGAGGGAGAAGACATAAAGCTTGCTTGGGACAGGATCGATCACATGGAAAGAGTAGTCGCGTAAAGACCTTTTTGTGCGCATCAATATTAACTAGGGAACTTGGGCGCCAATTCTTACAGGATACTGAGGGTCGTCTTAAGGAGGGAGTACAGATACAAAAAAAGTCTATGCCAAACAAAAGGGGGGTTTGATATAAACCTGAAGCACGAACGGTCGAGGGTTTTACTCCCCGCTACAAGTAAAGTGAAATGACAGGTACAACAGAGCGCACAATATGTTTTTCTCCTCTTTTTTCTTTCTTCTTGATCATTCACTCTCCTCTATTCTCCTTTTTTCTCTAATTTATATGCATCATGGTTGAAGAACCGAAGCCACTGGAATTAGATCAGATAAAAAGTATTCTACATGGAAGTTATCAAAATGTAATAGAAGCATCTTCACACTTTTATCTTTATTCTAATGGAATTATAGAAAAACAAGCAACACGCTGGCTACAATTACTATGAATGTGATGATTTTGAAACAGAAATCAACGAATTCATTTCATATTCAGAAATAAAAACTGAACTAAAGACATATCACCAAGAGTTTAATACTAAATTCCCAAGTAAATACAATAAGAAAAGCAAAGAGCCTTTTAATTAAACTAATCTAGCCTGGAA